CCGGTGGGGTGGGGTGGCCACACTGTAATCCCTTCTCTTCCATTTTCCTCTTGAGATCTTGGGCACACATGCACACGCTCCTGGCATGAGTTTAAGCCACTGGGTCCAGGACTCAAGCTGCGGTTGTCTACATGGGAGTCCAGCGACATAGCCATTATGCTAACTACCGGTCCCCATTCTCACTCTCTTAAGGAGAATTTATTTTTTTATTTCTTGCTCTATAGCACTGAACTTTGTTTTAGTCATAAAAAATGGAAAAGATTGAATGACCTCTCAAAGGTTTTTGATCCATGGAGAGTGGAGAACCTTAATGTATGATGTTGACATAGTTATTCACCATATAAAGAGAGATTTGACAGGAGTTGCCTCATCACTTCATTCAACAAATACTTAGTGATTTTAATTATAGAGGTAAGGCATTGAGAAGATGATAAATAAAATTGAAAAGGTTCTCACTGTTATGAGATTTTGGCTTGATGAGTGTTTGTAAGGTGTATAGTACTACATTTTGATATTTTTATATCACAGTATGAAGAGTGCTGTGGTAGAAGAACCCTATGGTGGTGTGTAATCCTATAGGAAGAATTCCTAGTGTAGTTTTGGGTGGCCAGTAAAGACTTTCTCAAAGAAATGACACTGTGAGCACTGAAGGATCCGTATGAGACAGTAAGTTAAGATATGTAAGGAGGAATCACAAATAATACACTTATTTTGAATTTCCTAGAGTTGTATCAAGCTTGACATGTCCAAAACCGATTCATCTTCCTTCTCCCTAAAATACTGTTCTTCCCTGAATTTTATATCCTCACATTTTCCCCACAATTTTAACACTTTATATTTAGCTTGCAAATCCACAGAAAATACTGTAGTCATGTTAGAAATACTCTCACCACTCATTTCCTTCAGTTGTTCAGATACTAACATTTTTGGATTCTATAGTCTCATTACATTTCTTTTCCAGGGTCTTTTCTTCCACTTCAGTTCTGCAGGCCCTCAGTTTTTGCTTGAATAACCAGAGTATCTTCCAAACTAATTTTCATGTCTCTAGTATTTTTCTTTTAGTCTGTGTTTGACACTACTGCTGGTTGGGATTTTCAAAGTGCTAATTTGATCATGATATTTTATTATACATACTCTAATAGCTCTTTATGGTTTCTAGGAAGAAGGAATAACTTTGGCTTATTGAGAATTTCTTTCAATAATTTCATTTCTATGCACATCTCTAGCCCATGCCCTACAATTTGTTCTCATGCATCCTTTTGTGCCCCACAGAAAGGATTGCTTGTCATTCATCTACTCACAGTGCAATTCCCTCTACTTGAAATGCTAGCTGCACTCCTCAGCTACTCTCAAGTTCTTCAAACCTGATGTTAAGCATTATTGTTCCAGAAATCATTCACTGGTTTGCAGTGTATTTCTTTCTCACTCTCTTTCTTGCCAGATTCAAGGTTGTTGGTGTGCCTTACCTTACCACTGGATGCTGTACTTAGTAAAACCACTGACTGCATTCTGTTCAACGTTGTATCTCCAGCACCTGTCATTTTCAGGGACACCTCTTAGGCATGCTGGTTGATGTTTATTGTATAATGGGAATAGTTAGGTAGGATGGAGCCAGATCCTAGACTTTCTAGATCATTCATGATGATAATCAAGCCATTGAAGGTTTAAGAGCAAAAAAGTCATGTTATTTGAGCTATCCTTTACAAAGAATGCAATATTCAAAACATAAGACTATTGTGGTGGAGTGTAAACTTGGTATTGAAATATTGTGGTATTTTTGTTTGTCTTGAAAAGGACTGATCTGTAGTCTGCAACTTATATGAGCAGCTGAACTGGTCATAGGGATTTAGAAACCATCAGTGGATGAATGATGATTGAAACATGGCTATGGGAGGTCCATCTTAAGAGAAAAGTGGAATGAGACCAACAGAGGGGTGAGGAAGAGTCTTATAGAATGCCAACTTGTAAAGGGTTGGATTTTTTTGAGGAACAGAAAATAATAATAAAAAAATTGATATGAGTCGTCAAGGAATAATAGGAGACAGAGAGATTGAAAATGGAGGCCTCCCCCCCAAAAAAAAGATTTACTCTGTAGAGCAAGGCTATCTATTGTAATAAGGGATGGTGAATATGTTTTATAATCTGTGTTGTTCCAAATGGTAGCCATCAGCAATGTGTGCCTATTGAATGTTTTAAAATGATTAACGTGACAAAGAAACTGAATCTTGAATTTTTGTTGATTAAAATTTACATTTAAATAGTTACTGATGGCTAGCAGTTAATATATTGACTGGAACAGCTAGAAATATCACCTAAGATGAAGCCGAGAGAAGTCTAGGGAATCTGGAATTTGATAAACCACAGTGTTACAGTGTTTAGTTTTCTTTTCTATTTTTTTTAAATTGCCAGAGAGTGTGTGTGCTCACCAGAGAGACAGAGGTGGGAGAAAGCATCCCTGATGGGGCAGAGTTATGCCAAAATCCCTTCTCTGTCCATCCTGTCAAGGTTTGGGGCATATATGTATGTACATGTACCTTGAATTGTTTTAAGAATTATTTTATTCATTTTTTTATTTTTAAAATTATTGACGAGCGAGGTAGAGAGAGACAGAGAGAGAGAGAGAGAGAGAGAGAAAGTAAGTCACCAGGTCCAGGACTTAAACTGTAGCTGGTCATATGGGAGTTCAGCGCCCTTAACCACCACACTACCTGTTGGTCCCCATTGAATATTTTTTAAGTCACCGGTGCCGAGGTTCAAGCTATAGTCAACTATGTAGGATCTGTCTCCCTTAACTAGATTCTATTCAACTCGGTATCTCTAGCACCAGTCACTTTGAGGGACACATCTTAGGCATGCTGTTAGATATTTATTGTATAATGGGAATAGGTAGATAGGATGTGGCTAGATTATAGAGTTTTTAGCTAATTTAACCACAAGTTTGTAGGTCTGACTCAAGCCATTGTTTTTAGAATGATAACATGATAGCTAAGATGTAGTGAACAATGAAGTGAATGAAGTTCAGCAAGTCAGGTAAGTGAGTATGAACTAACAACAAAGAAGATGTCTTTGAAGCAAAAGTAAGATTATGGTTAGAGGGGCCATATAGGCTAAGATGAAATACACTAGTAGAAATGGCTAACAGTGCGACAGAGTTGTGTGTGCAAGCAATCAGTGTAGAATGTTTCAACAAGCACTAGATGTGGGTTAGTTATTTTTATGAAGTTTAGGATTTGTATTTTTAAAATTATTTGATGAAGGGAGGGATTGGAAGAGCTATACTAGTAGAGTGATAAATCTGGTATGGTTTGGGTCAAGTGAAGTACATTTGGACAGTTTTTATTATTTTCTGTTATCTTTATGAAGGATCACAAGATTGTGAGAAGATCAGGAGTATGAAATTTATTTTCTTCACTTATAAATGAGAATTAAAATATTTCTTTGTTTTTATGATAAAATACAAGAGTACTTATTTTCCTGCTTTAAAAACTACAAAGCGTGAAGGAATTTGTGCATGTAAGGGGACAAGAAACATTTGGAAAATCCCTGCCTTTCATTCTATTTTGCTGTGAATTTGAACTGGTCTGAAGAATTCTCTGTTACAGGAACCAGCAGATGGCATAATGGTTACGTTGCTGGACTCCCATGTAGTTGACCATGGTTCAATTCCCAGGCCCAGTGGCTTAAACTCATGCTGGGTGAATGTGCGTGCATGCCCAAAATTCCAAGAGGAGATTGGGGGAGAAGGGATTGTAGTATGGCCAACCACTCTGGGAAGTGATTTCTCACTTTCTGTTTCTTTGTCTGTCTCTGTCTCTGGCGAGTACACACGCCTTATAGCAAAAAACCTTTCTTAAAAAAAAATAGTCTACTAGAACATTATCTAAATATTAATTGTTGGGAGGTGGCATGGTTTCATCTGAATAGCTCAGACTTTGAAGGCTGATAATCTGGCTTTTTAATATCATATTATTAACTATGTGACAGGGCCTGTAAGACTTCTTTGTACTATTATGGATATAATCATAAAATTCTCTTTGTAAAGCAAATGAATGCCCTTTTAAACTATTGAGCTCTCTGTTGTCATTATTTTCCTATTTGAAATTTATACTTCGTGTGGAAACCACAATTGTGAAATAATTTTATTTTTTTTCGAATGATCAATATTTTTAAATGAGAGTCAAATGCTCTATCTTGAATATAGGACAATACCCTATTTAAATTCACTTCTGTTGGGAGAGCTTTTTCAGGCATGATGATGACAAATTAAGCCCTTTGAATGCACAATACCTTAGAAAACTTACTGTATTCACCAACTTTTATTGTTTTCCTTCCTGAAGATACTGCACTGGGGCTTTGAAAGATTAATTTGCCATTAATCCTCCAAAGATAGTAGGAGATATCCTACTTCAGATAAGTTTCAAGTATAAGATTTTGCAGGTGGGGACAAGGAATTCAATACAATGCTTTGCCTTCTATTATTTTGCCCAAAGTCACAATGATATTTACGGACTTCTGAGAAAAATGCCAAGGTTGCAGATAACTAAGGGCCAGTTTGCTCTGCTGAGAGAAGGTCACGGACTCTATCTCTGGCTTCATCTGCTCTTTTGTGAATGAATGATTTTGATGGGACCTGGAGGGACCTAGAGAAAGACTGTGGGTGACTCAGCAAAAATCTAACACTCT